GAAGGAAAAAAGCACTATCAGTCCTCGTTCCACAATCCAATCTTAAATACTGTACTACTCCTATTACGCACTTCTTGGCCAATTTGGGGGAAGATCCTCGCAATAATAACCTTTGCATGACTAACGTCATGCGTCAGGTCATAATTTCTACTCCCCCAGGATATTGCTATGATCATCACTGGGGTGCTTATCTCAAAAAACTATTAGCTAACGCACATCAGGAGTACTAAGCAAAAATGTTCAGAACCCTAAAACCTAACTCTAATTAAAATTTGATCCTTTTTATCTGATCGCTGCTTTAACCTAAAACTGCACCATAACCCTAAAAATAGAGGCGGTAATGACCACCATCGCCTATTTGTACAAAAATTCTAAAATTTATCATTAGTTTTTATCTGAATTTTGATATAATAATTACAAGAGTATAAAAAGGTATAAAATATCTAAAAAATATAATATTCTATTTATCTTTAAAATTTCAAAGCAATAGAGTTTGATAATAACAAGTTACGATGGGAAATATTCTTTTCAGAAACTGTAGTGTTTCTAGGTGTAATTTTACTAGTAAAGTGTAATACACTTTTCAGCAATTTCGTTCCTAAATTGCCTATTCGCAAATTATCTAATTCACTGGCTACAAAAAAGATTGCAAAACAATGTAAGGTATGATAATATAAAATGATAATATTATTTTATTACCTTGATATTCCGAATCACATGAAACAGAATTACCGTCGAATGAAATAAACCTACTTTTATAATTTTCAATATCTACTTGCGTATCTTTATTTTTTATGTTTCGTAATTTTTTATCTGATTCAGTTAGTTCTGATAAAATATATTCACTATTCTGCCATGTTGTAAAAATATCACAAATTTCTTTTGCAGTTGGTCGTTCTTCTGGTCTTATATTCCAACATTGTTTCATTAAATCTGCATAGCATTTTGCTGATGTTCATTAATATGTGGTCGTAAACCATTAAGAATTTGTAATTGAATTTGAAATTCGGATTTTTGCTCAAAAGGTACAGGGTTACCGTATAAAATTTCTCACATGATTATGCCAAATGAGTAAATATCAGATGCTTTAGAATATGGCCGTTTGGCTAACACTTCCGGAGCAATGTATGGTAAAATTCCATAAATTCCACTAAATTCTGGTTTTAATGCAATATTAGCAGCTATTGAAAGTCCCAAGTCAGCAATATATGCACTTTTCAAGTCATTAAGCAGTATATTTCCGCTATGTAAATCTCGGTGAATTAGATCATGAGAATGCATTATCCGAAGATCATTTGCAATACATTGTAATAGATTTAGTTTTTCTTTCCAATCCATCTGTGCTATAGTATGTAAATTTTTACGCAAACAACCCATTTTAGTATATTTCATTACAAGAATATACTTTTTAGACGCTTTATCTTTTGGTATACCAAAACATTTAAAAAAAGTTGGGTCTTTATGACCAATATCACAATATGCTTTTAACTTATAATTAAAAGAAATATATGTTCAAATAATTATTAATAATGATAAATCGTGAATAATATAGCTAATAAAATATTCAAAAAGATTACCTCTTGTATAAATTCCTCATTATCTGAATTATGAAGCAATTTCAGCGCACACTCTCTGAATAAGTTTCGAGATTTGTCAAGGTATAAAGCATAATATACAGTTGCAAATCCGCCTTTACCTATCTCTTTAATAATGTTAAATTCATCGTAAGGAATCCATTGCAGTTGATTTTTATTTTCGATCAATATTTTTTTCAAGTCATCTTTAATTTCAGAATTTCCAGACATCCACTCATTTGCAGCTAATAATTATTAAATAAAAAAATCTGTCACTTTCAACTTCTAGATAAATTAATATCAATGTAGTCGATAATAAATTAATTGTAGCAAATAAGATAGCTGCGCAGCGTGTGACGCCGCGCCGGACCAGCACGATCACGTACTTATCTGGATATTTTACATTTCA